AGAGAGAGAGAGAGAGAGAGAGAGAGAGAGAGAGAGAAGAAATGGGAATAAGGGCAACTTGTTCGCCAGAAGCAAGAGACTTATTAGTAAAAAATGAGGATCAGGACAACCTGTTCTTCAAGAAAGAGAAATGAAAGAATAAGCGCTACCAGTTTGTATTGAGAGATAGAGGGATTATGGAAAACCGTCAAACAAGGGCTACCAGTTCGTCTAGAGAGAGACACACATAGAGCGATAGAAATGGAGAGACAGAGAGAGAGAAAAGAGATAGGGAGAGAGAATCCATACCTTACGAGGCAGAACCCGAACTTTCTCGATCACCTCCTCTGAATCAAAGCTAGGCCTCACCTCCAAATCGAAGAGCGTGGACAAGAAGAAGGAGACGCCCATCTGGCCCGAAAGCTTCCTGATCTGCTTGGTCTGCACAGAGATGATCCTTTTGTTCCCCCCCTCTTGGCCATTCTCTTGCTCGAAAACAATGCTCGGAACTCTGCCTGCCTTCCTCTCTTTTGCAGAGGTGATCCTCCCCGACTTCTCTCTGGGAATCGCCATTATCGTCTCTGCGTATTTGGGGTCGGGTCTTGGTAAACCCTCGAGGTAAGAGAGAGGCTCATCTGGTTCCTGCAACGCTACAGCTGATGATGAAGTCCGAGAGAAGGGCCTGAAACCTCCAATGAATCTGCGGATTAATGGCCGGTGAACCCACATTTGGTCTCGATTAAGGTTCTCCTTTCTCTCTCTACAAAGTTGCAGAGAGAGAGAGAGAGAGACTGCGTGCGTCTGGGCCTTTTGGTTTGGGAGTTCGACCGTGCTGGGGGGTTTAGGGAGGGTTTCGCGGCTTAATGAGGAGCTCTTCTTAGAGAGAGAAAGACATACAAACCCTTCCTACAGAGAGACTCGGGACCTTTTTTCATACTTTTACAAACCTTTTTTTCATACCTTTTTCTCCTTAGCGAGAGAGAGAATTTTCCAGAAAGATACTTGTGAATTATGCCTTATTTATTTTTAGAAAATTTATATATCAAATTCTGTTTGTTTTATTTTTTATATATTTAGACAATAGTATTATGTCTTTTATGTTTTACAATTAAGTCATTTTTTTAAAAACACATGTATATAATTTTATCTGTTTTGTTATACATCATATTAAGTTTAAATTTAATTTTTTTATATTTTTACTATTACATATCTATAAATATATTTTAAAATTAATTGAAAATAAATAAAATTATCAAACTAATCTATATTATTTTTTGAAAAAATTATTTATTTTAAATTATTTTTATATTATTTATAAATATATGAAGGTGAGTAATATAGACATATCAACTTAAACTCAACTTGATATATAAAAAAAGAAATAAAATTAAAATACATTTTATGTTATAAGAAATTAGACTATGAAAGTATGAAATATTTAAGACTACTTTAAATATCAAATAAATAATAATTTAATTGTAAATTTCTATTCCTTTTTTATAAAAAAGTAACTTATTGTATTAAAGTGAATAACACCTTATGCAGGATAAGGACAGGTCCGGGTCCGATTAAACCTAAACCCGGACCCAAAAAAGTAATATGGAAATATACATATGCATTTAAATATATTTAACTATTTTTAAAAAATTAGAACTCAAAAATAAATGTGGGGCCCAAAATCAAACCCTACCTGACCTAATTGGACCCGGATCTAAATAGTGCTTGGGTCCAAGATTTGGGACTTAAACCCGATCCGTCGAGTCTAATTTTTAAACCCATACACCAACCTTGGTCAAGTCTGCCCTTCGAGTGTCAGGTCGGCTCCGGGTCCATTGCCAACCCCAGGCAAGTATAGGACCTCACCAAGGAGACTAATGGGCCCTTATTATAGATTCTTGTCTTTTTAGATCCTCGAGTATATGGGCTCTAGAGAGAATTTAAAAAGGAGAAAAGTTTATATAAAGCCGAAGCTCTAAACAATCAAATGAAAACCTACCTCAAAAATTTCACTAGAAGAGGTTGTTTTGATGCCCAAATATCCTCAAATTGATCATCTCGACATCGAGATGCATCGACATGAGAAAAAAATGGATTTCAAGTTTCGGAAATAGTGTATTTCGTAATGCATTTTTTGACAATGGATTTTCAAAATTTTCCAATTTTTATAAATCTGTCTATCTATACTATTTTTTAAATTTTAAACTTTATAAATAAAAATAAAAATACATTTTAAGGCTATTATAAAAGTTTCAAAGATTGAAACCATATTTCTCAATACTATTTGAAGGTAGGCTCTAATTTGAATATTTAATGCTTAAGCTCTATACAAACCACACCCTTTAGAAAAAATGAGCCCTATTATGCCTTCTCTAACATTATGCCTTTGTTATGAGCTCTAGAGAGAGGAAAATAATAGCTAATTTTCTCTCTTGGCATATAGTAGTGGTTTTAAAATTGGCAGATTTTCGGCATGATGGAAATCGATTGGGACCAAACCGGTCCCGTATTCGTTCATTTCCCTAAACCCCATTTTGTATTTTCCACTACATAAACCCTTTCAAAAAATTTATTTTATTTTATTTTTAAAAATTATTTTTTGGATAACCAAATCGAACCAATCTAAACCCAACACAAATCGTTGATCCGACGATCCAGCATGCATGGATAAAGTGAATAATCTACCCTACCGATTTGGGTTTTGAAACATTGGCTTGGAGAGATAGGCCCTTAAGCACATGAGGACCAGAGAGAGATGAGATAAGCCATCTTTAATAGATTTATCAAAACATACATAAGTACTAATATTTTACTCATATCTATTGATTTAATTTTAAAACACCGATTGTCAAAATACACATGCCATGCGTTGGAATTGTAAAAGAAGAGTAAATTATTAAATTATTGAAAAATTAGATGGATTTTTATAAAGGGTGCCATTTGTATAAGGTGTGAACCTTAAACCATCTAAATAACGCGCACCTCCAAATGCTCTTCGAAAAATATAGTTTTGGTGTCAAAAATTTTAATGACGACTTGACATAATACATTACATTTAATTATAAAATTGGTCTACAAACACCTGAAAACAGATTATTTAAATAATATATTGCAAGATGTACCATTTTTAAAACTTTAAAATATTTTTCGTCTAATCAATATATCTCGAAGCTTAAATGATCAATTAGCAGGTTTTTTTAGCATCGAAACAACCGTTTTTTTATGGATTTATGAGACATGCCTTTTTTCCTTTAATAAATTTAATTTTATTTTGTTACTCCTAGTTTGTAAGTATATGAAATGCAGATAGAGGAAATTGAGCCCTTTGGCTTAGAGAGAGATTGGTCCTGTTTATTTTCTCTAAGCTTGTCTAGTATATAAGCTCTAGAGAGAGAAAAAAATGAGCCCTTCTTTGACTAAATTTCACCCCTTTTGTTTTTTTTCCCCTCCGGAGAGAGAGATTGTTTACAATAAGATATAGTTTCCAAAAACTTTATGACCGTGTAACGAAAAATTAAAGGGATTGTATACAAAGTGACTCACAATTACAACCATCGATCATACATCCGATGTGAAATCTAATAACTTGAGTATTTTACAAAGTTCGATAAAATTTATTTTGACCTTTGTGTTTGGTCAATGAAATAAATACAGCCACGTAATTTCACATTCAATGGTCAAAATTAATTGTGACCCTCTTGTACCAAAAGTAAATAGTCTCATTATATACTTTCTCAAAATTAAATCCACAATAAATTATAAAATTTAATATTCTAAAAAAAGAAATAAATATTTAAAAATCTTAAAAATAGACGATCTAGATAATATGGTACACGATGCACCATTTGTAGAACTCAAAATCACTTTTATTGTTATATCCATATATCTCGAGATCGAGATGATTAATTGGAGGCTCCCCAACATCAAAACAACCTTCTTGGGTTTTGAAATACATTTTATACTATAAATTCCACACCTCTCATATAAACTTTTTTGCTAAAGAAAAGGTGTATTTATATTAAGGGAAAATATAATATTAGCCTGCTGGCTGATGAAATAAAGTAAAGTCAACAGCCTAGATTGAATATGGATAGATCTTGATAATGATTATATTTCATATTTCAATTTGAATGTTTGTTTTACAAATCCAATCACTTTAAATTTGGATCGTCTACTTTTCTCATCAAAATGCACCTAATAAAAATATTTAAAAAACTATTCATAAAAATAATTGACCAAAATACCTTTATAACTTTAACAGGTATTTTGATCAATTTATTTTTTACGAATTATTTTTTTGAATATTTTGATAATGTGCACCTATCTTTCAAAAGTAAACGGTCAAAATTTCAAATGAATTAGATTTGTAAAAAAAAATTAAAATTCAAAAATAAAATGCAATTATGGCCATTAAATAAACCCAAATTCAATCTGAACTGTAAATAAACCCAAATTCAATCTGAACTGTAACCATAAGCTAGCAGGCTAACCTCATATGCTCCCTTATATTCATTATGATAAAATAAGCACTTTGCACTCTCCTATACATTGTTTACAATATGCTCCCTTATATTCAATATGATAAAATAAGCACTTTGTACTCCTATACATTGTTTACCAAAGAGGTACATTTTCGTTCATCTCAAATATTAGGATCTCTTGGTTAGTATTTTTTGCTAACTTAAAAGAATTATTTCTGTTTGCATCATTAAATTGTTTGTTTATAATGCTCAGATAATAGATTAAATATAAAGTTTTTTTTTAGGTAATTCAATGGAGAAGACAGGTGCCTTCCCGCGCATTCAAATAGTTTAGGAGTTATTATTTTTTATTTTTTTAAAGATGTCAGTGGGGTGGTGTCAATGGGAATACAAAGTATTTCTGGTATCACCAAAATTGTCAACACAACGCTGCATGTCTCCCTAAAATAGAGATGGTCCAGAACCATAATAGCCAAAACTAGCATTAGATAGTATAAATTTAGAGAGAGAATAAGACACCCTAATTGTACCAAGAAAACTGGTCCCTAACGGCATACGCATAAGCCCACGGCATTCCCACTCTTAACAAGTCAAAACCCCTAAAATTTAGAATCTAAAATGAACTAAGTAATATGAATAAATATATTTTATAAGTCAGATCGTTGAATTCGAGCTGGTTTACAGAGGTGTAAGGACCGAAAACACATACCAAATCACTGAGTGTAAATCATTTCTGCACCAGTATCACATATGGATTAGGAGAATTGAGACCTAAAAATGAAGAATTACAATAGAAGGTCAAATAAAAGTACAAAATAGACCATTTTTAACGCTGGACATTCATTTAATTTTTTGGATTCACCACCAAGATTTTGGATCCGAAATATATCTAAAATAGAGTGGAAAAAAGAGATGATGAGGGAGATGGTGTTTCCTGTACTACCTCAAGTAAGGAGATTTTCATAGTACCAATGAGAGGGAGACTCCTATACTACCATTCATATGGAGCATTAGTCCGGAAAATCAGCGTCATCATAGTATTTTTTCAATTATTTGAAATCAATTAATTAGAGGGAAAAATAATCCTTTTAAAATTAACCACCCATATGCAAAATTAGTGAGAAGGGTTTCCAAACCTCAATATGAAAAATGGAAAAGGGCAAGATAGGAGAGAGAGAGCTATAGGGCCTCATTAGAAAAAATCCAATACTACCAATTCAAATGGAGCATTAGAGGGAGAAATTGATTTTCCAAAAGTACCCAACCGCATGAAAAGTCAGAGAGATGGTTTTCCAAAACTCGCCCATTTAAATCGGAAAGTTAGAGAGAGAAAGAGAGAGATTCCTATACTGCCCAAACTAAAACTAAGTTGGAAAAAAATGACAGTGCTTGTTTTCCTAGAGAGGGAGTGAGTGAGTGGGACAGTTTCCATCTTTGAGATGACAACCCCCCCAACCAAGACCCAGCTGTAGCCTCAACCCCCGCCAGTTCACCCCTCCTCCAATTACCACGCCCCAGTCAAAACCCCTTTTATAGGGCCTCCTCTTCCTCCATCCCTTTCTCTCTCTATCTCTACACCAAAGAAGCCACCTCTTTCTCTCTCTCCTATGTTATAACCCCTCCCCTTCCTCACCCCGTTCCTTGCTGCTTCTCTCTCTATCTCGAACCTAGCAGCCATCCTCTCCCTCTCCCTCTCCCTCTCTCTCATGGCTCCACAGAGGCCAGCCCCCAGGGCGCCTGACCCCAGGGCCCCTGACCCCTCTCTCCACCTCCTCGAACTCAACATCATCTCGGCCCAAGATATCCACCCCGCAACCCAAGCAATGCATCCTTATGCAGTCGCATGGGTGCATCGTGACCACAAACTCTCAACGCGCACTGACCCTCAAGGCCACACCGAACCCACATGGAACGATAAATTCATCTTTCGTGTCACCGAAACCTTCCTACGCTCTGACACTGCAGCAGTCACCATCCAAATTTTTACACACCGCCCGTGCTGCGTATTCCCTGACCCCCTCATAGGCACCGTACGTGTATTGGTTGGTAATCTCCTCAGCGCACAGAGTCATGCTCCAGGCTACAGTGGAATGCGGTTCACTGCACTCCAGGTCAGGCGCCCCAGCGGTCGCCCCCAAGGCATATTGAACCTCGGAATCACCCTCCTCGACCCAGCTCTGCGCTCCATGCCCCTTTATGTGCAAGCCACCTCAGCTTTGGGGTACCAAGATCTCATGGGCCAGACAAGAATACTTCGACGGAGTAAAAGCGCCTATCCTTCGGAGCCAGCTTCGTCGACTATATGGACCAATTCACCTGGCCCATCAGAACTCAGTGTTGGCGAGCCTAATAAGCTCAAGCCTCAATCCAATCCATCAAGCCCACCAATCAAGCCCATGACAACACCAAGGACTGAGCTCACACCTATTGGTGAGGAGTTTTATCCTGCCGAAGTTGGGAGCTCAGTGCTCGAGGATTGGAGCGTAGCAAGCAGCGGTGGGAAAGAAGAACTAAAGTTAAAGCTCGAGAGGTGGCGAATGGAGCTACCCCCTATATATGACCCTCCGGGTTTTGCATCAATAGGGAGGAACCCAACGAGGAGGGACAATGGACGTGGGGGCCCCTTAGGGTGCTTTAAAGGGATGGATGACGACCTTCAGGCAGGGTGTGAATGCTCAATCTTTTGCGGGTTGAACCCAAGGAAGAAGAATGTCACCTCAAAGATCCACTTGAGCCCGTCGGATGTCAACATGACCAGGTCAATGAGGATTTAGACAGCGGTATCCATGTCAGGCCTGGTCTATTAATCTCGGGCATCTGATTCCTTTTTCCCACTCTTTTTTTTGTTCTCTTTATTTTATTTGAAAATGAGAATTTTTGAAAAAAACAAGAAATTCCCAAGAAAAGGAGAAATAGAGAAAGAATTGGTATTCCAATGTGATGCAATCCACAATTGGGAATCATTGAGGAGGTGGATGGAGTCATGGTCATCATGAGAAGTGGATGCATATGCTCATTTTATACTGAGATCGGGGATTGTCATCAAGAACGTGGTCATGATCATGGTGCACGCCTACATGGGCATAGTCATGGCCGTGGTCAAGGTCAAGAAGGTGGTCAGTCATCATTTGTCATGGTTGTGGTCATGGTTGTGATCATGGTCATGGTGTAACAGTCATGATCATGGCTGTGTTCCTGGCCGTGAACTTTTGCAGTTCTTGAAGGCTGCATTATCAACTAAATGTGCATTCAGTTTATGGGGTCAGACCTTATGCTCTAGTGATGTGTTAAGTGTAAGGGAAAATGGAGGTGATGCCTTTGATCATGGGGGTACATGGGGCTGGCTTGTAATTCTCTTTTTTCTCAATTTATGTTCCTGTTTCTCTTCTAATATGAGGGATATTCAAACAAGTTTCTAAACTGTTGACTATATTTTGCACGCTAATAATGAGAATGAGATATGACAGACAGAAAGTGACTCCTAGCAATAACAATATCCATCTTGCGCAATCAAATGCAAAGCCAGCATTTGGAATTTTGTGTGCAGCATTTTGCATAGATTTAAATTCTTGCTTCTTTTTTATCAGTAAAATTTAGACCATTTCTAGATTTTTGTGTTAGCCATCCATCTGGTACTCTAGTTTTTATTGGATATTGCTCAATGAAACTGCAAATATACCTTTCACCCTCCTAAGGTTCAGCATGCAGGATAGGTTAGTCAGCTGATAGAGAAAAGGGTCTAAGGTTAGCACAGCAACAACTCCAAAGTTCATCCATTGAGTAAGTCTCTTTCTCCGAGTCCTCGTGGCTTCTTTATAATAAAAAATTGAAGAGTACTTGAGGTCTCGTAGGTATTGACTAAATATGTCAAGATTGCGTTCATTATTCCTTGCACTCAAATAAATTCCATATAGTACCAAATTTAGATCTGAAAAACTCAAACACCATAGTTTCAGGACTCTTAAACTCCTAGGAATGTCCCTCATGAAGAACTAGAATCATAATACTCTCACAAACAGCAACATATTGTAGAACACTCCTTTTGTTTCAAGAAGACTAGTATTTGTTGCAATCTAAGCTCACATTCCCAATGCATTTTCATCTAAGCCTAATTTTTAGCCATTTTTCTTCACTGAGAAAGAAGTCCATGATGGCCTTGCTTTTGAACTAACACAAGTCCATGAGTGCCAGAAAAAGAATTGTGGGGCTTAAACCCTACAAATCATCTATTATTCCCCAAATTATAATTCAGACATTAAGATAATGACTGCCACAAATGAATGTCAAATATTCATCCTAAGAGCAAAACAGAGTGAAGGTTTTGCCTTTAACAGCTAAAAGTCTAATATACATAATTCTACACATGATTTTTGTTCAGTATGAGATTCGAATCCTATTGCAAAGACAGAAAATATCACCAATTTAGAAGAAAATGACACTATTGTCATACCTGTGCAGAGGCTGCAATGCCTGAGAAAAAACAAATTTGAATAAGTTGAAATTTACGAACATTTATAGTTGAATCCTTAGGCCATGGCTTGGATAAACTGCTCCTCAGGAATACCAAAGATTCGTTGCAAGAATTTCTCAACAATGCAGAGAAACTCTTCAGGTCTCTCTTCATGAGGCAAATGCCCACAATTCTTGATCACTTCAAACTGGGAACCAGGTATGGCTATGGACAAACGCTTTGCATTCTTTGCAGGGACGAGCCTGTCAGAGTCTCCAGTGATGATCAGAACTGCATTAAAACTGGCAAATGTCACCAGACATTTAGAAATTCTAATTCTAATCATCTTAGCTAGAATTACAAGAATTACCTTTACCAGTTCTACGGAGAAAAACATATAATGGCTCATTCGTTGTATTAGAAACAACTTTTATATTTCTTATTTTCAAAAGGTCCAAAAGCTATTGATAACTTCCAAAGTTGCCAAATTACCAAGAACATCACCTAAACTGACCAGTACTCATGGCCTGATTTTTTTCGGAACGATGGTGCAAGTACCACAAGTACATAACATATTGGCTTAACAAGACAACCTCTGCTTTTTAATCCATGGTAATGCTCTGAATTTTTGTGAGTCATAATCTCGCAAATCACCAAAACACATGAAATCTCAAGCATAGTGTAGACTATAATGAGTAAATTATCATTGTTTTCGAGACCACAACTAGTTTTATATGCAATCTAAAACAGGGGTATTTTGGGGAAAAAAGTAGCACCATCCAATTCAAAAGGATAAGAAAATAAAACGAAATAAATTAGGGGCATGCGTACATCTGTAGCTTACTCTTTCATACAAGTAATTACCTGGGCATGTGATCTCTGCTAGACGTTTTTGGAGCGGTGGCTTTGATCCAGATGTGGAGTCCATCAGCATGGAAATCATGTACTCTAGCAAAGCCCTGTCCCAAGACCTTGTCCTGAGTGGCTGCATGTAGGAGAATCATTTACATTGGCCAGAAGGTTCTCAGTTCTTAAAGTAATCAAATTCATTTATCCACCATGCAGCAAAGGGTTTTCTTTAATGGGGACCTTTCTATATGCCACTAGGTATAAGGAAATCATATGTGCCACCCTCTGCCACCTGTTGGATTTGAATGACTAGGGGCCTTTGACCATTTTATCTTGATCTAACGGCTTAGATTATTTTATTTCTATTTTTTTTTCTGTAAATCATATGAACCTGAAATTTGGGCTGTGTCATCCTCTCATAAGCCCACTTAAAAAATTATGAAAAGAAAATGCTCCTAACAAAATAAAATGACCAAACTACTCCTGAAAGTTTTAGGGGCAGTGTAGTCTTTTTATTTTGTCAGGAATATTTTGTTTTTTATTTTATTAGTTGTGCCCCTGTGAGAAGAGGGGACACCCCAAATTTGGTGTCAATATTATTTGTAGAAAAAAAATTGAAAATAAAATAGTGTTTAGGTGTGACTTTGTGATTAAGGCCATCACAGCCGTCCAATCAGATTAGACGGCTCTGGCAGGGGTGGCAAATGAACTTCTCTATGCCTAGTGGCATATAGAAAGGTTCCCCTTCTTTAATATCTCTAAAGATATACAACCTATGCCTTCAAATTCCAGCACCGAAAAACCAGAAAGACATAAATAAAAGCCTCTGCATATTCTAGAACGGTTACTTTTGGCAGTTTCATGCAGTTCAGACAGAATAGCTAGACCAATGGCTCATCTAGGTGCCCATGCATAACTTCAGGTAACATTTTGAGTATAGAAACCCCACATAGGAAAATGATAAGCTTTTCTTACCTTTATGTAACCTCGTAGTACTTCATCTGTGACCCTGTTAACATCGTACCAAGCATTTCGAACAGCTGCTATCCCAAACTTATCTATGATGATCCTTACCTTCAAGACCCATCATCAAAAATACACACAAATAATTCAAATATTAAACAAATAAATTATAGGAATAAAAACAATTGATTCCACTGTGTTTGCTCTTAAACGATAAAAAGAGGCACTCATTTAAGTTGTTTAACCTTGTGGAACCATTAATGTGTATATGCTTGAATTCTATGAATAAACACTCACATTCACAAACATTACACACACAAAACACAAAGTGAGAGAGAGAATGAGAGAGAGAGAGAGAGTGTTTAGCCAATGAGAAATGGCACCATTCACCCACAAAGAAAACTCACCAACGCTAAAGCAAATCTTGATCGAAGAATTGCACATAGAACATTCCTGAAAAGACCACTGACCATGTCCATCATTCCTCGTAACAAACGCATGAGTGTATTTGCAACATAACTACAAAGCTTGGATAAAATCTTCCCAATCCACGAGAATAAGTTCTCTTGATTATTCGAAGGGAAGCCATCATCTACCATTTGAATCTCTTCCCCCACTTGATCTTTTCTCACAACCTTTTGTGGTAGCAAAGGGGCCAAAATTGCAGGGGCGACAAGGATGAGGGCAGCAATGCGCTCAGGAGCTTCAAAGTATGTGTTAACTGCTACAAGACAACCAGCAGAGTGCCTGGGATATCATCCTTTCAGCCTTGGACACAGTTGGCTACCTTAAAAGGGTCAGATCTTTTCGGAAAATATAAAAAGCTTTGTTTGTTTGTCGACTAATAAAAGGCTTTGTTTTTATGGGGCAATTTTCTACATGCCTCACACAATATTCGTAAAAGTTGTTCGATGAGTTCCCCATAAGTTTTTACAAGAATTCTATCCGTTATGGCAAAATAAGAGGTATTTCTATATGATCGAAATTTTTAAAAAAGGGAAATTTCATTCACATTCAGCTAGTGACAATTGAGTACTTCACCTACTCCATAAAAACTTAAAGATGACTAGAGTCTCTAGCTCTGCAAGGTAGCAAACGCAAGGCTGATCCATAAATATTAAGTCCCAGAAGACAAGAAACACAAGCCACAATTACTAAAAAACTAAACAACTTAAAAAATAAAAAAAATTAACAAAAGACATTCAAAGGAGTACTGATGAAAAAAATAAAGAGCAAATCAGGAAAAAACTCCCTGCCCTGAAATCTGTAGAGAGAGAGATGTTCAACACTTATCGCAAAACAAAAACCAGTTTATGCACACAAAATAGCTGCTTACCCCATCAGAATCGCCTTTCCAGTCTTCAGAGTGTCTATGAAGGACAGAGTTGCAAGCACAGAGAAAGCCATCGAATATGGATTCAAAGGAGTTGCATCCCCACTTCTACCCACCTCCATCCTAGAAGTCAACCCAAAAGCTGGTCTATCAAATGCAAGAACTTTTGAGCCAGCAACTCTGGCAAGGGGCCTCATAACCAGGTCCCATGAAAACACAGAGGCCCCAAAACCATGCAATAAAATCATTGGACACCCAGGCTTTCCTGCGCTACTTGCGCTGTCGAATGTTAAAGTGTTGCTACTAAGAGAGGGGTTATTTACTTCCTCGTTATCACACACTTTGTGGTGTATTTTTACCCCTTTAAACTCGCAAAAGCAACTGTCTGGATCAGCTAACATTGATGGGTCAAGAAGTTCATCTTGATCAATGCCTGCTACTGTCCTTTTCTTAGGCTTCATTTCCATATCTGTATATTCCCCTGTAAAATTTCGAGATTTCTGTAATTCTACTAGGCATTTATGATGAAAATTATAGTTAAAAAACAAAACACTGAAAAACAAAAGCCCAAACTATCTAACATTTTATTTTCCCTTTGACATGAATTTCTTTCTGAGAGTATCAAACACATCATGGGAGGAAACTATAGAAGCACATCCATTGTCATGAGATAATTGAGCTTTGAATACTAACTGTACTGACCATCAAAAATTTCAGCTACGGTATCCGCTACATTTGGACTGAAAAGCAAAATTTCACACCAGAAGATTAAAAAAAAAAGTTTCCTGCTATTATTTTCCCCCCATATTTTCAGTATTTTGACCAACCTGGCTGAAATTGGATGAGGATCATGAAAGTAGAAATCTGGCCTACTTTGTTTGACACGTCTTAAACCAGAACTTCTCTCACGACAGTACAAATATGGCCTACTTCGTTTGAGTCTTAAACCAGGACGAGAGAGAGAGAATGATACAGGGAGGGGAGTGGCAAAGGTAGCACTACAGGGAGAGGAGAGAGAGATAGAGAGAGAAAGATGAAAATGACAATGATACAAGGAGAGAAGTAGCAAAGGAAACCTTAGAGAGAGAAAGAGAGAAATCGCGATGAAATGATGCAATGAAGTAGCACAAGATGCATTAGAGAGAGATGCAGAAGTAGTAACAGCAGTAAAAAAATGGCTTAGAACAACAAATACACTGTTTCTCTCTCCTTGTTCACACTAACATGACACATACTGAACCTAAAATCGATCCCCTCGAAACGCTGATTCCTTTCTCACACTATCAGATTTCAAAAGCTCAATTTACAGTGGCGATACGCATACAAAGAGACAAATGCGAGCATAATTAGATAGACAAGGAGAGAGAGAGAGAGCAAGCAAAAACCACTCACCTGCAAATCCGCCACCGGATCCACTGAGTTCAGCAGCTTTTCGGCAAGTTTTCCGGCGTTCATGGAGAGAGTTCAAAACCCTTAAACCCCACAAAACAACACTGAAATCACCAGAGAAGCCCCCTCCATTTCTCCCCTCTTCCATGGAATTGAGCCCACATGTCACTGAAACAAGCCCCGGCCTCTTACAACACACTGAATTACCGCCGAACAGACCGGGAAATTTAGTCGAAAACGCGATTTTCCGGCGATGGATGACCGGAAAACATGTGTCTACGGAGATCAATTTTAAGGTTCCTGACATAATGGAAGATAAAGAGAGGCCAATTGGTAGTGCAAAAATGGAGGGAGCATGTCAAGTGCCCTGATTTGGGGTGTTTATAGGGGAAAGTTCTACAGATATTACCCTTAGATTTAAGATAGGGTGTGGTTTCTACTACATCCGAAATTTATCATACCATGTAATTTTGATGTTAAAATTTATTAAGAATATCTCAAAATCTATTTTCATATCTAATTATAAAATTTTAAATTTTAAAAAATGGTTAAAATCAAGTTGATCTATAAACATATGAAAATCTTGAAAATAAACGGCCTACATAACGTGTTGTAAGTTGCATTATTTTTAGGACTCAAAATTTTATTTTTTTTCTTTTCATATCCATAAGTTGTCGAGATGATCAATTAGAGGGTTTTTTAACATTAAAACAAATTTTTCCAATGGATTCTTGGGGTGCATCTGTAATTCTACATTTTAAAGTTGCAACTTATATCAACTTTTTCTTTTAAGATAAAAGAAAAAGTTTATATAAGGATGCTACTTTATAATGTAGAACTAGGGATACCCCCTCAAAAATCTATCGGAAAATGTAGTTTTAATATTGAAAAACCTTTTGATTGATCATCTGAACATCGAGATGTATGACCATGAAAAATAAAAAGATTTTAAGTCTTAAAAATAGTGCATTTTACAACATATTATCTACAACGTCCATTTTTAAGATTTTTATATGTTTATAGATCTATTTGATTTTAACCATTTTTTAAATTTAAAATTTTATAATTAGATATAAAAATAGATTTTGAGATAATCCTAATAATATTTTACATCAAAATTATATACCATGATAAATTTTGAAGGGCACCGTACCTCTACACCTAAGGAGGCATTCTTATGCCAACTGCACCTTTAAGATAAGGGTGGGGGGGGGGGGGGGGAATTTAAGCCCCTGTAATTTAGTGAGGAACAATTGTTTCATGCAGGCCGGATCGCATTTTTACAATATACAGTCAATAAGTATAAAGCATACTTAAAGATGGATGTAAATAGGTGATCCATCTAAAAACAATTGTAACCAACAGTCCAAATGTTTTATTAGTATAACTATGATTTTTAGTTTTCAAATTTTTTTTTTATATTCATGATGAGATTATATCCTTTAAAAATTAAGATCAAATTATATTTAAAAAATGAAAAAGTATATAATAAGACCATTTACTTTTGAAACAAGGTAGTCACAATTTATCATGACCATTAGATGTGAAATTAGGTGGCTATATTTAGTTTATTGATCAAGCTCAAAATTCAAAGTAAAATTTTTCGAACTTTGTGATACACCTAAGCTATCAAATTTCACATCGGATGGTTGTGAGTAATTGTGACATCCCTATATTATTTTAGTAAGAAATGGTCTCCATATTTTACATTTTTTGCAAATTTTATATTTTATGTATAAAATACCATATTTGGGATTATTAATCCTAAATTGTTATTTTTAAGGAATAAAAGTGATATGCAACGATTAGTTTGCCATTGCGAGGAACCAAAGCAGTTTGGACTTTGGAGTAGGGCTGGCAATGCGCCGTGCGGCAGGCCCTAAAAATGTAGGGTCTAGGCCATGAATGGCGGTCCGGGGCCAGGCTAGACAATGCCGCCCTAGTTTGGGGCGGGCCTCTTTGTATCTTAATTGTTCTTTTATTTTTTCTTCATTTATTTTTTCTTAGGTTGGGCGGACCCGGCCCATCGCCACCCTTAGTTTGGAGATATAATTTTGGACCAAGTTCAGAACTATGAGTTTTGACTCATTAGATTATGTCATCCATAACTAATGATCTCTGAACCACTCATTCTAATGAATCAAAGCAATCAAAATTTATAATTTTGGACGGCTTTGATTCTTTGTAGATATGGAAGGATAGATGAAACCATGTTATTTTGAAAAAAAAAGAAAAAAAATCGTAATAACATAGTTTTCCTTCTCCGGGGTTCATTGATCCTTCACTCAACGACAAATTCGTAATAACATAGTTTTAATCAAGACTATGTTAAATCTTATTGATCCAACTAATCATTCACTTTAAAAAAATGGGATTCATCTTGATATTTAGAAAAATTTATGCTCATATTAAACAAAAGGGATTGTCTACAAAAAGATCATTTTATCTTTAGTACATGGAGGTCACCATCATTATTGCCCTTTAATTTTCAAAATGGGTGGTTGTAAGAGGGTTATTGGATAGATACAAAGTTCAAAAAAAAATTATCCAATTTCACGACCCACCCCAAGCCATCCAATTTGACATCTAATGAGTGAGAATGATTGTAATATCCATAAATCTTTTTAAACAATCCCTAAACAAAAAGTTCGTATGTCCCCCTAAAATTTGTTTTGTACTGTATCCATTTTTTTTTTCAAAATCTCGTATATTTTCCCCCCAAATTGCCTATACTTTGAACCTTCAAAGTTTGATTTTTATACTAAATAGTCCAGTTCCATATCTCAAAATCCAAGAGATTCTTCTCATAAAAAATCCCACACCTCAAAATCCTAGAGTTGTTTCAAACCTTTACTTTAGATTTGTTTGGAAGATGTTCTAGTCTTCAAACCTCAACGACGAACCTTGAAAGTTTCAAGTTATTAGATGTTTGTTCATGAAATACACATTAAGAATTTGATGCAACAAATAATATTTATGGGGAAAGCTTTCCATGCGAAACCATCTACATATGTGATCCGTGCTCTCAACTGTAAGATCGAGTAAATGGTTGCGATGGCTTGGGTCACAATGTCACAAGTTGCTCTCGAGTATTTAATATTGATCCGATAGCTCAGAGTGTTTAATTTTTAATATTTATTTTATAAATTATTTTGCAAAGAAAATTGGGCATGTATACATCCAATAGGGCACACATGATACAAAAAAAAAAAAATATTTCCTTTGATGGAATTTTATTAAAATACCACTTAATTTTGTGGTAATTTATTTTCACAATATTTTATTTTTAATTATTTAGGTGTGTCCCGATAAAAAGATGGGACGCCTCAAATTTTACTAAAAAAAGCTTTGTACATTATTTTGGCATGACATTGTGAAAGCTAGTACTTTATGAATAATTAATATTTGATGGATATCATCATCCTCTTCTTCTCCATGGGCACAATCTTTGTGACTCCAATGCCTCAAGCAACATTAAGTAAATTTTCTTTTCAAAGCAATGTTATTTTGCAGTCCCTTTTCACCTCCTTCTAAAGGGTTTAAAAGGGGATTGGGAAAGGCCAAAGATTCAAAAGCAAGGTTCTAAATTCTTGCCAAAACTGGATCAAGTAAATCCATGTCTTGGTTCTGGCTCCATGGACAATATAGGGTTATGATATTATTGCAACTCACCTTGCTTTTAAGGATTATGTGGAATTAAGTTATTGGATGCCAAGAAAAGGCAAACATTTGAGAAATTTCATACCTTCAAGGCCTAGTTAGAACATTGGATTATTTTTGGATCTTGAAGGATTAAAGTTGTTTTGAAATTAAGCTTTATAATTGCTTGTCAATTACATTAGAGAATGAAATGTATATAATGATACTAGTTATTTTTATATAAGGAGGTCACAATTATCATTGACCCTTAGATTTGAAATCAAGTCCTTGAGAATGTGTCCTTGTTTATACTCAATATTCAAAACAAAAGTTTTCGAATGTTGTGGTACTTTTATATATTGGATTTTACATTCGATGGCTAATTTGATTGTGACCTCCTTGTACAAAAAATAAACAGTCTCGTAATATACAATCCCATTAGAGAATTGTACAAGTTTGTTAGAGAGCTGGTTGATCAATTGGTTTCCTCCCACTTTTAAAAATAAGTTTTTTTTGTTTTTAAAATTATTATTAATTTTGCTGGACCAATTCTCACATTTGAGCATTAAGCGCGATCTAAACCAAATTTTCTAAAAATGGGTATTAGCCAATCCCGTTTCTTAAATTCAACTAAAGGTGTCAATGGACCCGATTAGACCCAAGACTCGGTAGATTCGACTTCGGGTCCAAGTATCCATCCACTATTTGGACCCGATGGGTCGGGTCTAGATCCGAGTGTAGAAGGACACACCCGCACCTGCAAACAATAAAATACTCTACTTGAAGCCTTGTTCATTTGGGCGTATCCCGGATGATATAAAATAAGAAAGTGGTACACATTTTCATCCTTTCTTCCCCCCGTTCTCCTCTCTCTAAAAAGACCTCTTTCTTCCATATCCTCTCTCTCTCCTAACGGCCATGGAAGCCCTGGTCTGCAAAAAACTCGGCGACCCAACCCTTCCTCTCTCCGATTCGTCCCCGATTTTCGTATCAAACGACCACCCAATCCCGAATCTCACCTCGCCCACGTCCGTACGGGTACAGATCAAGGCCACGAGCTTAAACTACGCCAATTTTCTCCAGATTCTCGGAAAATACCAGGAAAAACCACCCCTCCCTTTTATTCCAGGCTCCGATTACTCGGGCGTGGTCGAGGCGGTCGGAACCGGCGTCACAAAGTTCAAAATTGGTGATTTTGTGTGCTCTTTCACGGCGCTCGGCTCATTTGCCGGAAAAATTGTGGCTGAGGAAAAGGACCTGTGAGTTAATCGATGCTGGTATCTGAAAAACTGGGCTATTATTTCATTGGTTTTTTTCTATTTTTTTCTGAAGAAGTAATAGGGAAAATTGCCTGGTTTGGTGAGCACTGAGCAGTGAGAAAAAAGAACTTTAAATTTTCTTTTTGTTGTTGTTGTTGGGTTTGTGTCTTTTGCGGTGAATTTTGCAAATTTGTGGACTATATAGAAAAAATGTGATAAAAAATTATGCAGTATTTTATTTGGTTTTGATGATTAGAGGTAGACTGGCTGCTATTTTCTAAGTAAAAATGGACTGAATTTTGGCCTCAACAATGAAAACATAAAACAGAAAATGACCTGAAATTTATCAAGAAAAGAAAGGGCCTGAAAATTGGATTTTGGTGAAACGGATGGACTCATTAAGGTGAAAATTTAAATTTGATTAACTGAAGTTGGGGTTTTATTTGAATCTTGATTCTTTAAAGCTGAATTAAGCTGATTCGGCACCTGTAATCACAAAAATCTGGAATGAATTTCCATTTGAAAGCCCCCTCTTCATTTATGAAGAATTTGTAAGTTATACTGGGTCAAATACAGAAAAGAAAAACATTTTGTATATGTGATATTAAATACCGTATTCTCAAACATCTGCAAAAATCTTTTGCTTTGCTATGATACACCGAGTATAACCTAGAGAATCTTTATTAATGGAGATGGGTTTTCTAGATGCTATAAAAATAATTGCTTATACTTACTGTTTCTTTTTAATTGCTGGGAATCGAAGTTTTTGTGTGCCTGATGGGTGCGATCTAGTTGCTGCTGGTGCTCTTCCAATTGCTTATGGAACTTCACATGTTGGGCTTGTCCATAGAGCTCGATTAAGCGCCGGTCAAGTATGCATTATTGGTTTACTTTCTTTTGATAGTGAAATGAGACTCCTATAATTTATTGTCAATTGCATTTGTAGAGAACTTGTGGTGGAAATGAAAATGCACATGGTTTTTTATTTTGAATAAAAACCCTTTTCTAGATATACTCTACAAATTTTAGTTGCATTTGACCATATAGAATGATCAATTGTATGTTATTTAGTTGGCTGTCTCCAGGATGATTGTTTGAAATTGTTGATATCTTGTCCCTTTAAATTCCATTGGCATTATTTTGTGTGTGTGAGAGAGAGAGAGATCCACCAGCCTAGGAGTAGTATAAACCCCACAGCGCTGATTGAAGGATCCAGAAATGTGGGCCAGTGTTATGTGTTAGAAATATTTTTCCTGAAAACTGTAGGTGTCCGACAGATCCCAAATTTCACACGTGCCTCATCTAGGCACTTCAAATACGATAAAATAATGGATACATGTAAAATTTGTATGGAAAAATACGTCACACTTATTGGCTGTCAAGATTGCCTCCTCTCCTTGAATCTAGACCATCTGGCCTATGCTACCCTCTTCTGTGTGCATGTAATGATTAGAAGTACTGTGAAAACGAATTTTTTTTTTCTGTGCATATAAGACTGTAGTGAATGTAGTCTCTGATAGGTTCACCTGTATTAGAAGCCCTCTCTACCCGTGCGCTCTTTACATGGCGTTCCAGGCCCCAGAAAATGAATATCTTCTACACATAAAGTTGCCTCTTTTTTTAGATTGGGTAACAACGTCACTTAATTCACTTCATTAAAAAGAAAAAAACACCTACTTTCCAATCTCTTTTTATCTAGGACTTCACTTTTTTCTATAATCCCAAGACCTAGTGTGGTTGTCTTATTATTTGTCTCTCTTACCGTTCTACTAAAGCTGCAGTGCTAGTTCCGTTCTATGAAATTGTGTTGATTTATCAAAAATATAATTTACATGCAGTGGATGTAAATCTGCATATTGCTATTAGTTCCTACTCTCTCTCTCTACTCACAACACACGTATATACATACATATATACATATAATCATTGTTATTTGTTGTATATCATTGGGATATAGGTCCAAGTCTAGAGACGTGGCAAAGAATAGGATCATTTCATGTACAATTAGCGAGATAAGTGGAAAATATACTGTCCTTTATGTGAGTGCAGTTTTGGGGACTCAGATCAAACATCCACATTCTATCTATGTCAACAGGTGGGAAATGAGTTGTTTTCCAGTTCTAAAGTAGCCTTTGTTTTAAGTTGCAGCAGTTGCTTATCTCCACTGTCCGTGCAATAGAATCCACGAGGATGTTTGGTATGAGTACCCATTACTATACTTAAGTATAGTATCCAGACCCAGGTAATATGGCCTTGGAATTCTAATTTCTCTTCATGCAATCTAAATTGTGCATTATTTAGTCTCAGATACTGAGCCTTTACCAAGGAGGCAAGGACAAGAAATCTACCATAGTGAAAAAACTGTCACTTATTCTATTGATGCGCTAGTTTGAGAGGGTTGTTGAAAGATACATGTAAATTTCTCTCTCTTAGGGCATATATGTGATTATGGGTGCTTTTGTAACTTGAATTTGTTTGTTTTGATCAATGTTTAAAATACCGAAAAACTTGCTCATGTTGCTCACAGTATAAACCGAGTTGACTTGCTTAGACAAATGGTTGAACTCACAAAAACTTGGGTTCATTTTCAAACATTATAAAACGCTAAAATTTGAAACAAGTTCTGAACTTGATTTCTCAATGCAGCATAGTTACACTCCTACGAATTCACCAAATGCAGCCTATGTGTCAAAATATCTCACAAAAAAATATACACTGGAAAAATTGGGCCAATTCAATTTTTTCATTTTTATAACAAGGTAAGTGGGTGACTGCAGCTAACTCAACAAGTTTTTCCTAGTTGAAATTTGAAAACTGGAAAGAGTTTATTTGTAGTATGTTCTGACATTAATTTTACTCAAATTTAGAATCAGAAGACTTTATAAGGACATCAAACTTGGAAAGAGAGTTCATTACTAGTCTGAGCCCATGTTTGTTATAAATGTTCATTTATGTTAAGTTAGCTTTTTGGCTATTTTTCTTTTTACTGATTAAGATCATACAGGTGCTTCTTGTTCTCGGTGCAGCCGGGGGTGTTGGTCTTTCTGCTGTGCAGATAGGAAAGGTTTGTGGAGCCATTGTCATTGCTGTAGCAAGGTATCCTGTTAATCTTAGTAACTGTTGTTTATTATTTTCACCTGATTTCCCTTTTTTTTACCTCAGCAAAAGGTGAATTTCATCATTGTTTTCTGCAGTTTGTGATTGATTATGAGACTAATGCCAAATGAACTCGTATTTAGCCTATTAGCATATAATATTTTCTCTTTATGAAGGATAACTTTACTTCATTCATATAACCAAAATTGACAGCAATATTTTCTCTTTAAAAAACTGGAGTTTAAGTTACTGGCCATTGTTTCTTTACAAAATAGAGACTATATGAGAGGTCGTAGTGACTTCCTTGCTTGCTAGTCTATTAGCAAGTTCATTAGCATCTCTTCATGTATGGGCAATGTGCACTGTGAGATTGCTAAGAAGCTCAAAAGTCTCTTGAATTTTGTTTGCTAATGTCCACGTGCATTTCTTCCTACTGAACCATGAAACTACCTTATATGATCCCACCTTCCTTTGTATTCTCTTCTAATTGGATGTAGGTTCCTCAGTCCAAAGAACAACTTTCATATGTAGCATGTAATCTCAATGCATATATGTATCTTTCTTCCTTCTTTGTTTTGTATATTATAATCACTAGTTTCTTCTGCAAATGTTTTATATAACAACTATAAATTTATTTCAAAACCCGAAACCCATATTTATTTAATATATACAAACGTCTAGCTTTCTTTTATTTTTTCGTTTGTAGGAGAGAGAACCCTGTTTAGGACTCAAGATAGGTGACCGAGAGATATAATGTAAATCTTACTGGAGAACAGTTTCGGATTTCAGGGGGACTGAAAAAGTAAATTTTCTCAAATCCTTAGGCGTCGATCTTGTTGTTGATTCAAGTGAAGGCAGCATTATAGAGAGTGTGAAAAAGTTCCTCAGGGCAAGAAAGCTCAAGGGGGTGGATGTTCTCTATGATCCTGTAGGGGGGAAGCTTGCAAAGGAAAGTCTAAAGCTGCTTAATTGGGCGGCAAACATTTTGGTCATAGGTTTTGCAAGTGGAGAAGTCCCAGTGATACCGGCAAATATTGCACTTGTTAAGGTTCTCTCTCTCTCTCTCTCTCTCTCTCACACACACACACACACACAATTGGTTACGCTAGGCTCCCCTGGGTTTTCTCTTTTGAAGAATCTAAGGTGGTTTCCCTTTGTCTTTTTATCAATAATCAGCTGTCCATTTTTCCCCAAGTCATAATTTGTGAAGGTGGTTTCCTTTAATTGCTTCTGTTTTTTCGGGGGAATAATTTATTAAGGTTGGTTCGATGATCACTTACCAGATTCGATAGAGGCTAACAACTTTTGTGGAGATTCTCTACTGTTTCACCCATTTAATCTTGCACAATTTGTTATATCATCCTGTTAACATCTTGATTATAATTAACCACTCCCCACTTGTTGAATCCCCAGAATTGGACAATCCATGGGCTCTTTTGGGGGAGCTACAAAATACATCAACCGAAAGTTCTTGAAGACTCTGTTGCAGAACTTCTGTCGTGGCTAGCAAAGGGTTTGATCACCATCAATATTTCTCATTCCTATACTCTCTCTGAGGTTGGTCACTCCCCAAATGCCTTATTCTGTTTGGTCATCTTTGCAAATCCACCATTCCTTTTTTATTTAAAAATTTAAGTACAATTATTTACTGTGTGGTTTACAGGCCAATCTTGCATTCTCTGCCATAAAGGAAAGAAAAGCTATTGGGAAGGTGATGATCACTTTTGGAGATAACAGAGAAACAAGATCTCGCCTATGAGACCATCTTCAAAGTGACAATCACATCCTGCTGCGTGCATATAATGGTTGGTTCCGATGCAATTTTGTGCTCTGGAGCTCGTGTGTTTGGACCCTTGGATGTTGTAAGGGGCAGTCGGGATGATCACAGGATGCAGCATGGTTTCTCTTAATAAAGTGATGGACCAAGAACATTAATTTATCTTAAAAAGGGGAGCCGCAGGTTTATACAATGGCAACTGAATGTCATTGGAACACAATATTGCGACACTGATAAACCTGCGAGCCGATTGTCCTCACCTTGACAATTCAGGTTCTAGGAAACAAGTAAATCTCAAGCCTGAAAAGATGGTGCTATCTCACAACACATTTTCTGGACCATTTATTTCAAGCCTTAATCCACCAAATTTATGCTTATGGTGCTTCAAATTCTACAACTATGGCGAAATGGATTTACTGACTTTTCCAGTACTGAATATGCTTTTTGGGTGGGGTTTTGAGGCATGAATTTGTGAATTTCCTTGAAACTTCTCCAAAACCTCATCTTTTAAAGAAATAAAAGATTTATAAATTATTTTCAGGTAACATGGGTACTCTCTCTCTCTCTCTCTCTCT